AAAGGGAATAGCACATTCAAAAGCACTGGAGCAGGGAAGAATTTATGTACTTTTGCTAGTAGATTTTTTTAATTGTCAAGAAATCTGCACTTGATATGGAGATTTGGGGGAATCTTGCCGATGCAAAATGAAAAGTGCATAGTAAGGGCTTCCCTGGTAGCTCAGACAGTAAAGAATCTGCGTGCAGTAAGGGAGACCTGGGCTCGATCCCTGGGTTGGGAAAATCCTCTGGAGGAGGGCATGGCAACCCACTCCAGTATTCTTGCCTGGAGAATCCCCATGGACAGAGGAACCAGGCGGGCTATAGCCCATGGGGTTGCAAAGAGTCGGACACGACTGAACGACTAAGCACAGTACAGTGCAAAATCATCTGTATCTGAGAAAATTACTGGACTTCAAAATTTATTTAGATATGAAACCATCAGGAACCATGATTTACTCAACAAACATTTCTCAGGGGGAATCCTGAGGTGGGACTGGGGGAGGTGGGGGTTGGAGGAGAGAGGCATAGACGGACACAGCATTGATCAGACAATAAGAAGTCACCAGAAGGTTATGAAGAAAGGAAGTGACACTGATAGGATTTCTGTTTGAAAAGTCGACGGGACACTCTGGGGAGAGTGGACTGGTGAGGAGCACAGTGGGTGCAGGGAAAACAGGTAGGAGGCCATGGCAGTGGTCCGGCAGGCAGTGATGGTGGTGTGGATGAAGATGGCAGTGATGGGGAAAAGGGACACAACCGACGGTGTTTGTTCATTCGGCTGTGTGGGTGCCAGTTGGGTGCTCACCTAGCCCCTCCTCTCCTGGCCCAGGACACACCCCGTGGGCTTGCTCTGAACCCCCCTCCCCCTCCCAAGAGGGCAGTGAGTTGCAGGCTTCTGGGTTTATGCGCTTTCTGGTTCCTCAATGGCCACTGCTTCCCGCGGTCCAAGCTGTTCAGCTTGGCTCCCAAGGAGGTCTTTTTCTCCAGTGAGTGGGTCCGAAGAATGACAGAGCCGTCACTAATCTGCTCCTGCTCCTGCTGACTGATGAGGGCGCTTGGCAGGGGGTTGCTCTGCTGTGTTCACTGCAGCCCCCAACCTGGAGGAGAGCTGGGGAATTACTGCTGCTGGGGCTCCCCGACCCCCCTTATCCCAAACAAACGAAGGGAAAGCTTGAACTTTCTTCTTTCACAGGGAGACACACTTCTGTATTTGCGACTGGGAGAGAATATATTTTAAAGCTGACTTTTCTGGTGATAACAGGGATACAGTCCTATCAGAGAAAATCGAAGTACGAATAAATAGAAGGAAGACTAACCAGTATTCATAATACTACCCTGCATTTTTGTGTGTTTTCCCACTCATATGTACTTCAATGGGTCACACGTACTGAATATACTTTTGCACATCTTGATCTTTTCAATCTGTTTTAAGCGTTTTCTTGTGTCATCGTAATCTCTCCTGGCACAATTTTTAATATCTGCAAAGTAGTCTTTTGGGGGAAAAGGTATTTTACATAACCTTTTCCTATCTGCTGAACAGTTGGGTTGGGTATAACTTTTACTATCGCAAGCAGGTCTGTGATGAACGTCTTTGTTTATAAATCTATACCTGCGTTTTGGATGCCCTCTCCCCCTGTAGATTTCTAGATAGGAGATTAATGAGGGGAGAGATACAGACAAGCCAGGAAAGAACATCTCCATGTAGGATAATTCCCATCAAAAGATAACTCTGCTTTTGTCAGAAGACGCTAAAGATGGACTGTTTTTCCCTCTGTAAGGATCCGACGCGCCCATCACTTCACCATTCACCAAGCATTGGCCACTAGGTGTCTGTATGTCAGGAATTACATCTTTTCTCTAGAGACCCCGCTGGATTAAGGGTTTGAGAGGCAACTGGAGCTGGAATTTCATCAGTTGTTCTTCATCTTGTGGCAGAGTCAGGTGTCCACCAGGCCTGGGAGCCCGGTTCCCCAGGGCAGCCAGAGAACCAGCTAAGCAACCTTGAGCGCTGTCACTTCCCCTGCAGAGGCCAGTTTTCTCATGTGTAAAACAAACCCCAAAAGGCAGGAGTTGTGGTTTGACCAGATTTTGTTATTGTTGCCATTTCAGCCTCAGAACCCTTATTTCAAATCAAATTTGACCAGAACCCTAAGCTAGAAAACAGATTGAGGGGCAACTCTCCCCATAGACATGGGGGAGGAGTAGAAGAGGAGGGGGATTGCGCTAGTCTGGAAACCCTGGCCCAGGGGATGGAAGTTGCACTTCAGTGCAGTTCTCTTCCCTGTGGCTGAAGTTAAAAAATAATTATCTTTCATCTATATTTAAATCCTCCAAATGTGCTGATTGATGAAATCCTTTCTCTTAAAGGCAATTTGGAAATCGGACAAAGTAGAGCACAAAGCCGTGGATGTTTAGAGAGGGGGGGCCAGTAGTGTGTGAGACCGGTTGAAAGGGTGACCCTGGCACTTCTAAGAAGGCAGCAGCACAATGGACTCTTGGAAAGAAGCGGTGTCAGTTTATTCCCGCGTTGGCACCGCCCCCTCAGTGGGGCGGAATTGCTTGTTTTCAATCTTCCCTTGCCCGGAGTCTTTCAGACCAAACTTGGGTCCACAATTGCTAGCAATTTGAAGCCAGAGTAACCGACGGACAGGTATTTTTACGGACGCCCAAACAGTGTGGAAGATACGAATGCTGGGTGGATATGACCAGAGAGTTGCCTCCCGCCCACCCTCCCCGGACGCGGAGCGCGGGTGGCGGGGGACCTGGTAACCTGGGACCCTGCTCTCCAGTCACGGCAGCAAGACTGGCAGTGCCGACCCGCTCGGCGGGGCCCGGGATCCGTGGGACGGGAAGGGGAGCGAGCGGTAGAGGCCTCGCCACACCGGACGCAGCAGGCGCCCAGGAGGAGAATCGGGTGGAGGGCGGTGCGCCGGGGTCGGTGCATCCTGACCGAGAGCCCTCCCACCCCGTGCGGTACCCTCGGGGGAGGCCAGTGCCAGCGCCTGCGGGGGAGGGGTGGTGCCGCCTTCCCAGGGAGACCCGACCTTTCTCCGAGAGGCGTGGTGAGCTTAAGTCTCCGGGATCCGCAGTGAGGTGTAAAAAGCGGGCACGACCCCCGAAGCCGCAGAAAGCCCCCGCCCCTCCCCCACCCCACCCCCCATCCCCCGCGAAGCCCGCCCCGGCTCGCAGGTGAATGGTCAGCCCGCACAAAGGAAGCCGGCTGGAAATGTGGAATTCGGACCAATTTAACGGGAGTTCCTGTCGCCCCGAGTCCAGCAGACCTCAAGCAAAGAAACCTGTGGTCAGGAGTGGACGAGGATAAAACACAGTACACCAGGCCGCGCTTACTGGAAAGCCCGAGTTTAGTTATTCTGGGATAGCGAGGTAACAGGATTAGAGGGATTAAGGAAATCACCTCAAACAGATGAGGAGGGGGTAAAAAAACACTGGTTCTATTTGTTTTCTTCCTAGGCCTCAAACAGATTTCACTGGGGCCGAGTGGCCAGGCGCGAAACCAAAGGCCTTTCGGGGGGCACAGTGGAATGCCCAAGGGTCAGGGATGGAGGGAGAGTGGAGGAGGGAGTCGAAAATTAGCTAGAGGCTCGGGTTGAGAGGGAGCCTCTTCTAGAAAACCAGTCAGTGGGCTGGGTTGACAAGTCAAAAAGAGAAAGCCATCGGAGGAGTCTCAGAGGTCTTTGCAAAAATCTAAGGTGGACTGTTGAAAACCACACCTTCCAGCATTGAATGCTGGCTCTGCCGCTTCAGCCACCGCGGTTGAAATGTACTCGTTTCCTGCTAGGGAGTCCTGAACTATTTCTGTTTAATAGGCTGACATTTCCGAAGGGTTTTCGTTTTGTAAACCGTTCGGCTTGGCTCGAGTGTCTTCCCGCCCCAGTGCACAAAGGTAAATGTGCCCCCTTTCAGGGCTAGTTTCCGCGGCCGCCCCTCCCCGCCCCGCGTGGCCGCTGCCGCCGCCGCGATCAACAAGTGCGTGGCCGCGGGGTGCTAGCCTCCGCCTGGGTGTGCTCGCTCCCGGAAAGACAATCGCTTTCTCCTTGGAGTTTCAGTTGAAAATACCGGGAGACGCCGTGTTTGCGATCACCAGTAGTTACAGAAGAAACCGTTCCAGATCACGCTCGCTTCCCCCCAGGCCCCCCCACCCCCGGCCCCGGGACCGGACCACGGTCGCAGTACCGAGGACTGGTTCCCTCCCTAACCCGCAAAATTTCAGGCCCGCAAAATTACCAGGACTACATTCTGTTGGTTATAAAATTTATTGATCTCTCATTTAGGAACTGAGTAAAACCTTGAAAACCCTGAAACAAAATAGCCCCTTAGCCCTACCACCCAAACGAAATCCACATACATTAGCGCGACGAAATATCAAACAGATCACGGCAGAAATCACCAACTCAACAGCTTAAATGCGGACTGGACAGAATGCTGTCCCGCGGCCAGGGGCGGCGAGGCGGGAGACACGCGCACACCTGGCTATAAATTAACATCGGCCTTGGCTGCCGCGCCGCGGCGGTCAGTTCCCACCCCCCCAACCCCGAGCCCACGAGGAAAACAGAGGCAACGCGACTGGGGGAGGAGGCGTTGCAGTTCTCAGGCCAGCCTCACCCGAGTCCGTTTGTCCCATTCACTCACTCCTCGGCTAACAGCAAACTAACGAGACAACATTTTCAAACGCAACAGAAAAACCCAGGAACCCGGGAGGAGGAGGAGGTGGTGGGGGGCGGCTTTTTCTTGGCCAACAACACAGCGGATTCCCAGCCTACAGAAGGGGAAGGGAGGGAAGGCGGCGAGGGGCCGGCGAGCTCGAGAAAGTCCCATTTCCGCCGCTCCGGACTCCTTTCTGCTTTCGTACAAACCCCGACAGCTACCGCCAAACTTTCCGTCCTCCCCATCGTCGGTACAAGGCAACAGTCCCAGGCAAGCAAAGCTAAAGAAGGCGTCCCCACTCGGGGGTGCAGGGGCGGGGTGGGGCGGAGGGGCGGCGAGCGCCGGCGGGCGCTCAGATGTGGGTCAGCGGCACCGTGCCGTTGACGGCAGTCCCGGCGCCCTGGTAGTGCTGGTGCACGCTGTGCAGGCGGCTGCCCGGCAGCGGCGAGGCGGCGTCCGCCGCGTCCCCGCCGGGCGGCAGGTACATGCTGATCATGTCGCGCAGGTCGCCGAGGCACGCGCGCTGCGAGTGCGACGCGATGGCGGGGGGCGGCGAGCTGGGCTCCGTCTTCACCACCGTGCCCATGGGGCCCAGGCTCATGGCGGCGGCGGCGGCGGCGGCGGCGGCCGCGGGCTGCTGCCCGTAGGCGGCGGCGGCGGCGGCGGCGGCGGAGGGCGCCATGCTCCCGTAGCCCGAGGCGGCGGCGGCGGCGGCCGCGGCGTTCATGTAGCTCTGGGCGCCGGGCGGCATCATGGGGCTGTACTGCAGGCCGGCCATGTCGTAGCGGTGCATCTGCGGCAGCGCGGGCGGCGGCGGCGGGCTGCTCATGGTCGCGGGCGGCGCGTAGCCCAGCTGCTCCTGCACCAGCGAGTACGCGCCGTTGGCCCAGCCGTTCACGTGTGTGTACGTGTCCAGGCGCTGGCCCACGCCCACCGGGCTGCTGGCGGCCGCGGCGGCGGCGGCGGCGGCGGCGGCGGCCGCGGCGCCGGGGGGCAGCAGGCCGCCGGGCAGGGAGTACTTGTCCTTCTTGAGCAGCGTCTTGGTCTTGCGGCGCGGCCGGTACTTGTAGTCCGGGTACTCTTTCATATGCACCGCGCGCAGCCGCTTGGCCTCGTCGATGAACGGCCGCTTCTCGGCGTCCGTCAGCAGTTTCCAGTCGGCGCCCAAGCGCTTACTGATCTCGGAGTTGTGCATCTTGGGGTTCTCCAGGGCCATCTTGCGCCGCTGCCCGCGGGACCACACCATGAAGGCATTCATGGGCCGCTTCACGCGGTCCTGATCGCTGCCCCCGCCGCCGCCGCCGCCGCCCCCACCGCCGCCCCCGGCGCTCGCGCCCCCGCTGCTGCCGCCGCCTGCGTTCGCGCCGCCGCCGGCGTTCGCACTACTCTTGCCTGCGCCACCCGGGGCTGCCGGGCCGCCCGTGCCTGCCGCTGGGGTGGGTGGCCCCACGGGGTTCTTGAGTTCAGTCTCCAGCAGGCTGTACATGGCCGGGGCGGGAAGAAGGTGCGCCAGGGTGGCGGGAGGAGAAGGCGCTCCCGGCGCTGGAGCGGCCACGGTGAAAAGGCCCGGGGACTCCGTCGGAGGGGCGCTTGGGGGCCGCTGGGCCCGCGGGTCGGGCGCGAAGGGCAGGCTGGCCGCAGTGGTCCGCGCCAAGTCAGCGGGACCCAGCAGGCTGCTGGCACCTGATGCGTGGTCTCGGGCAGGTCGCATTCGCAGTCTGGCCGGGCGCTCGCCAGGCCTCTTATATACCTGCTCGGATCCCCCGGGGTTGGGGATCGGTCCGCCCCTCGCCACCCGGAGGCCCGGTGATTGACAGGCTTGCAGTGATGCGCCCTGGCCAATCATCACGGAGCCCTTGTTCGGCCAGCCTGGAAATAAAAAAAGTTCGGGGAGTCCTTTCGTTCACCCCCACGCCTCTCTGGGGCCTGGTGACGTGATGAGAGTTATTCAGGAGGCGGGAGTCCCGGACAGCCGCTCAGAGACCACCAATTAGGGTCTCAAAAAGTTTGAAAGAACGAAACTCGAGGAGGTGACGGAGGGGGGAAGGGGGGCGCGAGCCGGTTTGGGAGGAGGGGGCAGGGGGCGTCCACGGGGTTCCAAAAACAACTTTGTCAAGCCGGGGGGCGTCCGGTCCCGGGGCCACCCTGCACAGCTTCCCGCTGTCTGCGCGGAGGTACTCCGACCGCTTCTGCTGCCAACGCTAGGGGACACAGGACATCGCCAGCTACCCAGGCGGCCTTGGAGACTCGGGGAGCAGTGGAAGTACCCCGGGGCTGCGGCTCCGAGAAGCCCTCCCTGGAATCGGCCCCTTTCCGGTGGGACCCTCCACCGGGAAGCAACGGGCCAGCGCGCCCAGCACTGGGCGAGGGTCAGGGAGCGGGGCTCGGGAGACAGGCTTCGGGACTGCGGGGCACACGGGGGCTACGAGCTTTCGGTGGTTTGCCCGGTGCCCGGGTCGGGCCGGGCCGAGACGCTCCCATGCGGTGGTGCGGGGAGTGTTTGCGGGGGAGGGAGCGGAGGGGTGAACCGGCCTCGGCTCTCTTCTCCGGGCCCCCGTTTAGCGGCCCCTTTTTGTCTCTGCTCTCTGGCCATTTCGGTTTTTCCAGTCCGATGCCCCTGAGGGGGAGGGTCGGGCCCCTTGGAAAATCCGTTTTCATGGCAACACAGAGCCTCTCCAAGTGAAAGAAAAGTTTCTTGAAGGGGGGGGGGGGACGGTGGCCCGAGAGGAGCCGAGGCCGTCCTGGGGCGCCCCCTCCACCGGCCGCGCACCTGCCGGGACCACTGAGCGCTGTTCTCGCCGCGCAGCCGCGCCGCCTCCCCGGGGAGCAGGCGCTGCTAACGGATGCCGTCCTCCTTTTTTTTGTTGTTTTATAGCCTTCCCGACCGGAGCCTCGAGACTCGGAGCGCCACACTCAACTGCCTGTCGGGGTTGTCTGCTGAAGAATAGCGGCGCGGGGAAGCCCGGCTGCGGGTAGCTGGCACCCCGACTATCGCCGCCTCCAGCCCAAGCTAGTGGCTCAGCGTTTGCAACTCCCAGAGACGCCCGAGGCGACGGGTGGGAAGGAAAAGCCAACCCCGGGCAGAAGTGGCAGAGGCTGAAATAAGTGTTCCCACGGTGTGGCCCACCAACCCCCCTAGCCTCGTGGAAAGATGGGGAACCCAAAGAAAGGCGTATATCCTAAGTGTGGAAAAAAAAAACCCAACCAAAAACAAAAACAGCTCCAAACCGAGGTTTTTAGCTCCTTAGTGCTAATGCAAGACCCAGCGATCCTGGGAAGCCTGCGTTCCAGGAGCTTGCGTCCCCGTTTCTTGCACAAATTATAAAGTAACCCGCTGTGACTTGGGGGACGCAGAGCAGGGCAGCCCGCCATGGGGTCCGCGGACCGCTAGCACCAGAATCCCGGCTCCCAGCAGCAACATCTCCTGGAAGTTTGGGGTCTCGAAACACGCCTCTTAAGTTTGGGTTCCACTTGGTTCTGTTGCCCTTCTGGGCGGAAGGAGGCGAACGTATACAGTCAAGGGCTGCTGCGATCGTTTGAATGGTTGTACGCATTTAGGGTTTTGAAGTAAACTATGTGGAATGGTTCTGTGTATGGGTCGTGTGTATGTACGCGTGTGTGCACGCCCGCGCACGCGCGCACGGGTATGTGCACTTAAGTTGACATGGACTGGAAGGCATGTCTCAGAAAACAGAAGTGATTTGACAATCTCCACCTGCACCTGTTTTCTTGCCAGAATGGGTACACAGACAAAATTTCCTGGGCAAACCCAGCTTCTCCCCAAGAAGTCCGTGTGCAGTAGCCCTGCCCTTCTGGCCGCCTTTCCAGATGCCCTCTCGGGTTCTCTGGGCCTCTGAGGCTGTTGCTAAGTGAAGCGCGTTTTAGGAAACTACCCAACCGACGCGCGGCCTGGCGTCCAGTAGCCTGACAGATGTCAGGATTCTTTCCAAGTTTTAGGACCCAAGTAAGCCGTTGTGGTGACAGCGCCTGGGCTGCCTACTTGCCTAGTCAAGGGGTGCGGTGCAAGGGGCCGGCGCTTCTCGCCGCAGCAGGTTATCTGGGGGAACTAGTCACTGCTCCCAGCTGTTTGTCACTTGCTCTCACCCATCCCGCGGTTTAGGTAAGCTACTTCTCACATTAATGTCCTTCTGCCGGATTTATGGCAGTCTTGCTAGGATCAGACACCCTCTCCCACACTCCAGGCTCCCCTCGGAGGTCACGATTAAACCGATCTCTGTGCCTGGTAGCTTTGGGGTGGTCTGCCCAGCCCCAAGTCAAGAGTCACGCCGAAGTACCTTCGAAACATTTGCGAGGATACGTTCTCAGCCCGCACTACCATTTCAGTAATCAAGCGAGATTACCATCATGGGGGTGGTGAGATGGAGGGAAGGTAGAAGGAAACGGTTCTTTTAGCAATACCGGCGCAGGCACCGGCCGAACGGCGCGACTTTCCTCCGGGTTCGGGAGAAGCTTTACGGCAGGTACTACCGCCCGAGGGTGCTCGGTCCAGGTGGGGCCGGCGGGGAAGCTAGACGTCCGGGGAGCCCCAATCGGTATCTCCGACCCACACCTGCACCCCGCGAGGAAAGCAGAGGGACACAGCGGGATTCGGGAAGAGTCCCTTCCATTCTTTGCGGGAGGAGAGTGTGTTCGGTAGCTCTCTCTCCCTCGGGGCCTCCGGGAGCCCTTGGGCGGCAAACAGAGCCCCCCGGACGGCCGGTAGGGAACTCGGCCAAGCACCCCGTCCCCATTCTCCCCGCCCTCCGGAGAGAGCTCTGGCTCCCTCGGACTGGGGCTGGGGCTGGGGATTCCAGGACCCAGGGCGCGGCAACAGCGCCGTTTGTTGGCTTCCGTTGGAAACTTCACCTATAGGCGCCCCTTCTCTTCCTACGGGGCTTCGAGGTCGCCCCGACCCTCCAAGGAGAGGCAGCTGCATCCTGCGGGCAGAAGTGGGACTCTCCTTAGAGGGCTGGTGATGGCAAAACTCGGGGATGGGGTAGGCTCTAGCGTGGGTGGCCCTGCAGGCTCCGGATGCCTAGGGCGCTTCCAACTCTGCCTTCCTGCGGTTTGCGGAAATCCAGTGTCCCGGGAGCCTCGTATCTGCAAAGTGAACTCCTTAGCACTTGGCCTGAGAACTACTAGTCGAGCAGGGGAGGGGCTGTCCCAGGGCTCGCGCGGGGGTGCCCCCGTGGAACCCTGCTCCGCCACTGCTCAAGGGGGGCTTTTCTCGGAGTCTGCGGCTCGATTAGGACCCCGCCTCTTAGAAGAGGTGCCCTTTGCGTGCTGGGTGGGATGGAATGGGTGTGTATCAGTGTCCGTTCCGGGAGCTGTGGCCTGACAATAGAGTCAAGTGTTCGCCTTTTTTCAAGCGCAGTCGAGCCCAGCGAGGGGTCCGGCTTTGAGGAAGTGCGAAAAACTTATCCCGACGACCCTCAGAGAAGCTTTGCTTGCCAGCAAGGGGTGGGGGAAGTTTGCTGATCTAGAGACAGGGTTTCTTCTTCTTCTTCTTATTTCTTCCTTGGAACAACCCTTGATTATTTACTCTGGCCCCTGGCCAAGATGGTGTATTTAGGCCCCAGATTGAGGGCCTTGACCAAGAAATTCAGGGGCTTAGGTCTGTTGTAGAATCATCTCCCGCAAAAGGTCGCAAAGGTCACCAGCTCTCCAGCGAGGCTGGAAGAGACAGCCAAGCACCTCGCAGCTATCGAGGTCTCTGTCTGATACCCGCAGCACCTCTCCTGCCCCACCCACCCCCTCCTGCAGCTCCCAATAAAGCTCTCGTCCTTCAGAGTCTGGGAAAGAGCTGACGGTCCTAGGCTGGCTGTGCAGTTTGCAGTAATAGCCTAGTTGACGCTCTCCAAGGAAAGCTTACTAGGAGCCACCGAGGTGTGCGGTGACACGGTCCTCGGGGTGCCAAAAAGTCTCCTGTGGTGGGACCAATTGTATTGTATCGCACTTTGATGTAGCCCTTTTTAGGAGGGAGGGTGTACTTTTAAAAGAGTTTCCGAATTGGCTTCCCTGGGTTAGCTGAGCTGCGGTCGGTGGGTACGGGGAACCCCCCTTGGCCCAGACCTTGGCGCTCAGTTGCAGAGTCCTGTCCACCCGTAGGTTGTGACGACAAGGATGCCAGCCGTCTTCCCTAGGTGTCGAGCCACTGCCAGGAATTTGGCAATCGCTGTCTTCAGCGCCCTCTCTACCGACCTCACAACGCGAGCACTGCCAAACGCCAGCCGAATACAGCCACCTCCCCACGGGGGAAAGGAAGATCTGCCCGGGAAATGGGTCCCACTGGCGGAGCGTCTTCCGGGTCACTGTCGTCGATCTGCCGGCTTGGCCCCCCACCCCCAACGCGCCCAGCCCGCTGAGCTGCGTGGACCCGCCCCCCGCGGAGCAGCCTCGCGGCACCCAGCACCCTACCCTGCCCTCCCGCTGGGCCCGTCGCCTCCCTCACTTCCTTCTGTGGCTGCAAAGGCACGGCCCTCTCCG